ATCATGTCTGTAAGGAAAATATTTGCTGAGTTTCGGTTCATTTTTGTGAAGCGCTCCCGAGATGGCAAGTGCATCCTATTTGTTTTCTTTATTTTACAATAGCACAACGTTTTCTTGATATTGTGAGTGCACACAAATAAAAAAAAAAACCTTTACAGTTCCGAACGTTGCATTATTCTTACCTTTATGAGCAAAAATGATGGTGTATTTAATTTGTTTCCACTGATGTCCTGAAGCGCGCTTCTGTTTCCATTCTCCGCACAAATGATTGGATATGTGCCTAATAGCACATATTTATATAGGTTAAATGTTTAAACTTAAATTGTGATATGCTTTAAGTATTTTATTTATATATATATATATATATATATAGATTTTATTTTCGACAAGTCTTAATTACAACATCGTATGACATTGTCTCATATGACGCTTATACGTTTCTTCATATTGCGTTAGTATCTGATAACACAAAATCAGTAAAAGAATAAAAATTGCACTATGAAAGATCTTCATGATTAGCCTGTTTTTGCACTTCCTGTTTTTCCCTGCTTGAGAACTTCTGGATGACCTTAGCACACGTGTGGTTTTGTTTACTATTTCTGGTCCACTTGCAAAAAAGTGCAGTGTGAAAGCGAACCGCACCAAAAAAAAAAAAAATCAACATTGTATTTGGTCCGGACCAAAGCAAGTGAAGTAGCGGACAGACGCATATAATGAGTGGATGAATGAAGAAGACTATGAGATTGACGAGAATGGGAATAGAATGAGTTTCAGGCGGTGTATCTACCAAAGCACAGAGGTATGTTAATACATAATTTCATGCCATTTTTAAAAATCAGTTAGTTGTTTTGCTAAATTAAGTTAAGTTTGGAATTTTGTTTTTATTTTAAAGTATTTGTTTGGGGTTTTTTTCTCTTTCACAAGGAACAGAAACCTGGAAAGAAGCGACGACGCTCCCCGTCTCCACCGTCCTCTGAGTCTAAGAAGAAAGGAGGAAAGAAAAGGTTTAATCTTACTTTTTGGTCAATGTTATGTCACATTTTTGTCACCAATGCAAGTTAATGTTGGAAGTCACTGTAGCTTTTTACAAATTCTAAATTGCATTTGATTCTTATTAATGTATTTAATTTGGTATAATCCAATAGCTCCGGTGTGTATAAGAGGCGTGGTCAACCAGAGGAGGCGGAGTCAGAGGAGGACCTCACTAAAGACATGGAGGATCCCACACCTGTCCCTAATATGGAGGAGGTCATTCTGCCTAAAATTTGTAAGTTTATTTTTCCCTTCTGTGTTAAGTGCTTATGTTGATGTCAGGAGTGTAACGCATTATTTCTTTTTCACAGTGAACTTGAAAAAAGACAGTGAAAACACTCCAGTCAAAGGAGGCATTATGGCTGATTTAGGTGAGCTTGTTTGTGGAATTCACTTTTCAGTGAATTATGATCCGTTTGTATTTCAGTAATAACCTTGAATATCTATGTATTTCTCTCAGATGACCAGGAAGAGGACCTGCTTTCTGGTGTCAGAGTAAGTCAGTTTTGCTAAACAAAAAGTACATGATCAAAAACTTCCAACAATGCCTTCAGAAAAGAGCAAAAGGACAGCACACTGCAACAATGCTCTTAAACTCCATTCTAATAGTGAACAAAAAATGTTTCAACCCTTTCAGCCATGAGTTAGTCTGCCATGGTTGCTTCTGTCCAGCCTTACACAGAATCTACAACCAGAAGCTAGTTTAAAGTCAAGTTCCAGTTTAAAGGAGCTCTAGCTCACAATATCTACCATGTGCTTTAAATATGTAAGTTCTGAGTGTGTTGTGATTTTGTGTGTGTGTGTGTAGGATGAGGAGGAGCAGAGGGAGTTCGGCCGTGGGATGGAGGGGGAGGAGAGTGCCACAGAGCAAACCCATCACATCATTGTGCCCACCTATGCCTCCTGGTTCGACTACAACTGGTGAGGGTTGAGCTGTACAAGTTTCCCGATTACGCCAACTCACATTCAATCAGTTTTACATAGGTGTCATATTTGAGGCCTAGTGCTCTGAACATATGCAGGCATTTACTATTCTTATAAATTAAGTAATAGTGCTTTTTTTTTTATTTTTGTGCGTCAGTATTCATCAGATAGAGAGACGAGCTCTGCCTGAGTTCTTCAATGGGAAAAATAAGTCCAAAACACCAGAAATGTAAGTCAGTTTGAATACATGTACATGTAAATATTATTTGTATCAGATTCATCATCCTGAACTCTAAATAAACATGTTCATATCTTGTTTGTAGATATCTTGCATACCGCAACTTCATGATTGATACATACCGGCTAAACCCTCAGGAGTATCTGACCTCAACCTCCTGTAGACGAAACCTGACAGGAGATGTGTGTGCACTAATAAGGCGTGTATAAAAGTTTCACTTTTACCCACTTAATCTGACACCGGTTTATAAATAATTTGTAATTCATTTATAAACCTGATTGTGTGCATTTTAGGGTTCATTCATTTTTGGAGCAGTGGGGGTTTATCAACTATCAGGTAGATGCAGAAAGCCGACCCCTCCCCATGGGCCCACCCCCAACACCACACTTTAACGTTCTCACAGACACACCGTCCGGACTCGTCCCACTACAGCACAGACCCTTACAGGTAATACAGAAGGACTTTGACATTACATTGCCAAACACCAAATTTATGCTTTAAATGATCAGCTCTTAGATTAGTCAGCCGTTCGTGTCACAAAATAAATCCCAAAAGGGTTTTGACTGACTTTTCCCTTTTATTGCTTTCCTACTTACTGTATCTAAAAAGGGGACATGAAATATTGTTTTGAGTTGAAAACAATCAGTTGCCTAGAACTAGGGCTGGGCGATATGACGATATTATCATATATTTCGACAATGTCTTGCAAGTATCGCGATGTCAGTTACAGATGATAATCGCCAATATTGAGAAAAAAATTGCAAATATATTTAACACAGTCCCGTAGTTACCATGAATGTATTTATTCACATGAAATAGCATGACTACCAAAGCACAGAGGTATGTTAATACATAATTTCATGCCATTTTTAAAAATCAGTTAGTTGTTTTGCTAAATTAAGTTAAGTTTGGAATTTTGTTTTTATTTTAAAGTATTTGTTTGGGGTTTTTTTCTCTTTCACAAGGAACAGAAACCTGGAAAGAAGCGACGACGCTCCCCGTCTCCACCGTCCTCTGAGTCTAAGAAGAAAGGAGGAAAGAAAAGGTTTAATCTTACTTTTTGGTCAATGTTATGTCACATTTTTGTCACCAATGCAAGTTAATGTTGGAAGTCACTGTAGCTTTTTACAAATTCTAAATTGCATTTGATTCTTATTAATGCATTTAATTTGGTATAATCCAATAGCTCCGGTGTGTATAAGAAGCGTGGTCAACCAGAGGAGGCGGAGTCAGAGGAGGACCTCACTAAAGACATGGAGGATCCCACACCTGTCCCTAATATGGAGGAGGTCATTCTGCCTAAAATTTGTAAGTTTATTTTTCCCTTCTGTGTTAAGTGCTTATGTTGATGTCAGGAGTGTAACGCATTTCTTTTTCACAGTGAACTTGAAAAAAGACAGTGAAAACACTCCAGTCAAAGGAGGCATTATGGCTGATTTAGGTGAGCTTGTTTGTGGAATTCACTTTTCAGTGAATTATGATCCGTTTGTATTTCAGTAATAACCTTGAATATCTATGTATTTCTCTCAGATGACCAGGAAGAGGACCTGCTTTCTGGTGTCAGAGTAAGTCAGTTTTGCTAAACAAAAAGTACATGATCAAAAACTTCCAACAATGCCTTCAGAAAAGAGCAAAAGGACAGCACACTGCAACAATGCTCTTAAACTCCATTCTAATAGTGAACAAAAAATGTTTCAACCCTTTCAGCCATGAGTTAGTCTGCCATGGTTGCTTCTGTCCAGCCTTACACAGAATCTACAACCAGAAGCTAGTTTAAAGTCAAGTTCCAGTTTAAAGGAGCTCTAGCTCACAATATCTACCATGTGCTTTAAATATGTAAGTTCTGAGTGTGTTGTGATTTTGTGTGTGTGTGTGTAGGATGAGGAGGAGCAGAGGGAGTTCGGCCGTGGGATGGAGGGGGAGGAGAGTGCCACAGAGCAAACCCATCACATCATTGTGCCCACCTATGCCTCCTGGTTCGACTACAACTGGTATCAAATATAACATGTTAAGTAAATTAATCATTTTATTCTTGGACTTATTAAAAGCTTACACATTTCTTTGTGTGTAAACCAACACATTTAACTGCTTAAATGTTTTTTTTTTAACTCAACTTAACTTTTTATAGGCTGTATTCATAGGCCTATAAGGACACTTCGGAGCTCTTAAAACATGAGAAAAAATAACCTTTCTGTTTTTGGTCATGCAGAAGAAACCAATTTGTTTTTAATTGCTAATTTTAGACAAATAACAAATATCTTACAGCTTGACTACAAGTTTTAAAAAAACAGCGCCACACATTAAGGAAATTAAACTTATAATGAAATTTGTCTACTCGGGCGACAACACCAAAATTGAAAGAGAAACATCGGATCTTATGAAAAATAGGCAAGACACATTGCTATGTGACATCAACATGAATTTACCATTCTTACAATCACCATCAGAATGTCCACCTTCACAATGAACTCTGTTAAACTGTTCAATTCAACAGTTGTCTTCACGAAATGAAATTCATTTCAAATACTAAATATAGAGCAGTGTAGAAATTAACAACACTAACATAACAACAAAGCTAATGTTTTATATTAAGCACAAAGAAAATAAAAATTTAATTAAGCTAACTGAATCGCAGACTACTGTCAGATAAAGAGCAACCAAACTGATGTGTGTTTATAGTGTATGTTGGCTATGTTGTCTCCGGCAGGGGTGGGGCTCGAATAGAATAGGCAATATTTATTAAGGCGATTATCAATAAAATATTTTTTACATATCGCCCAGCCCTACCTGGAACAGTTATACAGGTCAGTGATCATTACAAAAATATTGAATAAATTTAATGTATTTTTGTGTTTGAAGGTTTCAGCTTCTCAGCATATGTTGCATTTCCCAGAGAAATTGAGAGAAAAACCATCTGACCTGCAGAACTTTGGTCTACGGACTGATATTTATGCTAAGAAACATCCAAAGGTAAAAACCACAAACAAAGTTTGCAACATCGTTTGAGTTTAGCAGTGTTTTAACAACTTTCTAGACTCTCTTTGTGCATTGAGATTCAGCACCTAAATAATGTGTGCTTGCTTTGTCTTTTCTTTTTCTTTTTCTTTCTTTCGTCTTTAAGAGTAAAGGCGCAAGTGCAGGGAGAGAATGGACAGAACAGGAAACACTCTTGCTTTTGGAGGTAAGCCAGTCAAACAGTCAACAAGATTTTGAAAGCTTTAGTACTCAGGAGTCTTCAAAAGCAGTACTGCAGGGGGTTGCCAGTTTTTTTTAATTATTATTATTATTTTTTTTCTCAAGCAAACAATGATTACAATAATTTTTTTGTCCAAAGCTAAAGTTAAGAATCTAAAAATCCAGCTAGATTTTACGTTTTACAGTTTTTAATGGTCTCACATTAAAATATATTTTGTATTGTAATTTTGGGTGAATTAAAAAATGTGATGTATATGGCTCTGTACATATATCACAATAATTATTATATACATTTTATGCAAAAATGGTTTAAAATGGTTTAAAATGCAATACTTAATTTTATACAATGTGTAATATGGAGGACCTGCTCCATCTCTCTCTATCCCCTAGGGGTCCTTGGCCAGAAAAAGGTTGTGATTATTTGTTGTATGCCGTATCTTTCTTTTCAGGCATTGGAGATGTATAAGGATGACTGGAATAAGGTGTCCGAGCATGTGGGCAGTCGCACACAGGATGACTGTATTCTTCACTTCTTACGGTTGCCCATAGAGGACCCATACCTAGAGAACTCTGAAGCCTCAATGGGTCCTCTGGCATATCAGCCTGTCCCCTTCAGCCAGTCAGGGAACCCTGTAATGAGCACTGTTGCTTTCCTTGCATCTGTGGTCGACCCTCGAGTGGCCTCTGCAGCCGCCAGGGCAGCTTTAGGTAAGAGTTAGTCTGTTAGTGTGTGTGTGTGTGCTGATTTGAAGTAGGGCTGAACGATTTTGGAAAATCTATTTGTATAAATGATTTGCAACGGTCTCTTTGTCACGTCCATATGGCGTTCGGACAGGATCTTTAATATGACGTTGCAACATGCACTCATCTGTCGAACGTGATGTCTGCGTCTGTCGAACGTGGCGTCTGCCGAACGTGACGTCTGCGTCTGCTGCAAGGGTTTCCAGCACTTTCCATACACTTATTCATGCTTTATTATTCCTATTCATTCTCTATAATACTTGAAACTTAGTGAAAATGAGAATTAAATGAAAAGATTCGACTGCTAGCCTATTAAATTTAGAACTGCTCATGTTTCATCGTATTTTATTTGTGTGTTCTTTCACTGCATGATTCAGTCTAATAAAATGCATTTAGAATGCTCCCAAAATTCAAAATATGTGGACAGAAAATGTAGGCCTATATACTTATTTAATAATATCACACACAGAGTGCCGTTTTTTTGTTTTTTTTTTGCAAAAATCACAAATGTGATACTGATTTTATACAACAGTTAAATAAACAAGTTAATATTAACAGACTTGCGTTTTAGCCACCATATTGCCTATTTTTGCTCCGACGTCTGCGTCTGCTGCAAGGGTTTCCAGCACTTTCCATACACTTATTCATGCTTTATTATTCCTATTCATTCTCTATAATACTTGAAACTTAGTGAAAATGAGAATTAAATGAAAAGATTCGACTGCTAGCCTATTAAATTTAGAACTGCTCATGTTACATCGTATTTTATGTGTGTGTTCTTTCACTGCATGATTCAGTCTAATAAAATGCATTTAGAATGCTCCCAAAATTCAAAATATGTGGACAGAAAATGTAGGCCTATATACTTATTTAATAATATCACACACAGAGTGCCGTTTTTTTGTTTTTTTTTTGCAAAAATCACAAATGTGATACTGATTTTATACAACAGTTAAATAAACAAGTTAATATTAACAGACTTGCGTTTTAGCCACCATATTGCCTATTTTTGCTCCATTTCGCCAATAAAAAATAGCTAATTCCAAACAGAGCCACAGCGCTGTTTTGTGTCTCTGAGCAACATAAGTTTCCATCCAGTTTTGTTATCGATAAAGAGAATATGCGTAAAAAATGTGCTGCCCGTTTCCATCCAGCTGGCCTTTAACCGATAAAATGCTGTGCGTGATGAAATCATCCCTAAAAAAAACGAATTGTTGCAAAAGTTTGTGTATTGCAAAGAAAAAATTGCCCTTGAGCCGTTTCCATACATAATTTCACCTAAAAATGAATTATGTATTACGTAAATTATACAGGCTAGTAGCCTGTTCTTCAACCATTTGAAACAAAACTTTATTATACATTGGGGCAAAAAAGTATTTAGTCAGCCACCAATTGTTCGTTTATTTTATTTCTCCTAACCAACAACCGATGGTCGTTAAGCCATTATTAACCGACAACATTGTTAAATTACAATTAAATGAAATTTGATTTAAGTGACTGTGACCCAATAAAAATACCTAAATTTGTTTTCCTGGGATTAATTTTATACACGCAAAAAGCAGCATAAACAACAGAACGTAAGGATTCATATGGTCATGTCACGCACCTGCAGAGCTTCTGCAAGAACGTAAGGATTCATATGGTCATGTCACGCACCTGTAGCGCTTCTGCAAATGCATATGAAAGAAATGGGCATATATGCGAAATATATTTTTCTAAATAATAAATTAACAAAACGAAAGAAAAAAAACTGTGCAACAATTAGCATCCTAAATGCAGAATTTTGGCTCATTTTTGTGATGGGCTCTTGAGAAAGAGGCATCCTGTTTGTTTCCTATATTTTACAAAAGCACAATGTTTTGTTTTTATTGTGAATGTACACACAGGAATATTTAGAATAGTTTTGAATAATGTCTTAGTCTCATGTGACCACAAATGAAGGAGTATAGGAACACCGTGTATACACCGGACGCACAGTTGCTGCGCCACTCGCGTCTGGTGTAGACGGTATAATAATAATAATAATAATTATTATTATTATTACTATTATTATTATTTAATAATACTGTTATAATAATAATGTTCCTGTGGCTCAGTGGTAGAGCATCGCGTTAGCAGTGCAAAAGGTCGTGGGTTCAATTCCCAGGGAACACACATACTGGTAAATAATGTATAGACTGAATGCACTGTAAGTAGCTTTGAATAAGCATCTGCTAAATGCATTAATTAATAATAATAATATGTTTAATTTATATAGCGCCTTTCCCAAGCTCAAGGACACTGTACAAAAGCAGTAACACAATAGACAGGCGATTCACATAATCATAAACAGTCAGTTCACAATCAATTAATCAAATTAAGTGGACTTTTGCCGGGGATAGACATGATTGCAGTTGCATATCATGGTACAATTATGTACTGGAAACAGAGATACATAACATAGTATAAGTAACAACAGAAAAAGCATAGTGTCAATAAGAAACAAACAAAGAATAGTAAATGCAACAAAAAAAATACACAGAACGAAACTATTCAGAGAGAATTACAGCTGGTAGTATAGAATGAGGAGAGTGTCTAAAGAACATTTTATGACTGATAGTATTGGGTAAACAAGTAGGTTTTGAGTTGTGATTTAAATACAGAGAGTGAGGTTATTGTCCTTAGTGCCAGTGGTATAGAGTTCCATAGTTTAGGTGCAATTACGGAAAATGACCTGCCACCCATTGAAGATAGATGAAATCTAGGTACAGTAAGAAGTTCACACCCTGCAGATTGAAGCGATCGAGGCGGAACGTAAGGAGACAGTAGATCAGAGAGTGCAGTTGCATATCATGGTACAATTATGTACTGGAAACAGAGATACATAACATAGTATAAGTAACAACAGAAAAAGCATAGTGTCAATAAGAAACAAACAAAGAATAGTAAATGCAACAAAAAAATACACAGAACGAAACTATTCAGAGAGAATTACAGCTGGTAGTATAGGATGAGGAGAGTGTCTAAAGAACATTTTATGACTGATAGTATTGGGTAAACAAGTAGGTTTTGAGTTGTGATTTAAATACAGAGAGTGAGGTTATTGTCCTTAGTGCCAGTGGTATAGAGTTCCATAGTTTAGGTGCAATTACGGAAAATGACCTGCCACCCATTGAAGATAGATGAAATCTAGGTACAGTAAGAAGTTCACACCCTGCAGATTGAAGTGATCGAGGCGGAACGTAAGGAGACAGTAGATCAGAGAGATAAGGAGGAGCAAGGCCATTGAGTGATTTAAAAGTAAGCAGAAGAATTTTGTAAGTAATGTGAGATGATACAGGGAGCCAATGGAGTTTAAAATAAGATAGGGGTAATATGAGCAGATCGTTTAGTATGGGTTAATATTCCCATACTAATTAAGGGTGTAAGTTGTTTTCCACTTTTAAAAGGAAAAACAAAACAAAAAAAAACAACAAGTGATCGTGCCGGCACCTCACTCGCGCAGTTAAGCATTACTAACTGTTCATTGTCATCATAATATACAGTCAGTCAAACATTGAAAACCATGATATTTTAGTTCCCTTCAAATACTGTAAATTTAACGGTAGAACAGAACTAAGTATAGTTCTAAATATAAGAAGTTACTAACAAGCCAAAACGAATTCATTTAAAATGTTGTACTTTGCGTTCCAATATCCACGTAAAACAAAATGTGCTTGGCACAGTAATATCACAGGGGTATGGTGGTCACGCTGAACGGCATGGACTACATGGCTATTTAAACTGAGCAGTGCAGTGTCAAAAAGGACGTAAACGTATAGGTTATAAGGAACATCAAATTAAGATAAGTATGTTTGAGAGGTAACTTGTCTTTTTCTTACCAAATATAAAATATTTTTAGATGCAATTTAATAATATGAATATGGTTTAATACGATTTTGAACTAGGGAAAGGGTGCTTTAACGTGAGCAACACCATGAAGACAGACGCTGCCTATAGGCTAATTATGCAATGTGACATCACAATTATTTGGGTTAAAGCCCCTTTTCTCGAAAAAAGTATCGATATTGAATTTATGCGCTAAAGTTAAACTGAAAAAGATAATGTCGACACATGAGAAATTTTATCGATAAATGGCATTTCTATTAGCTATATTGGTAAAAATTTTGAAGATCTAAAAAAAAATCTTTCGTAAAAAATAATTGGATGGAAACAGGATTTATTTTCTGAATGAATCAACCGTTTAAATGAACAATGACTCACTTATTAATAGTGACTTTCTGCCACCTACTGGTGGTTTTAATTTCAAATTTAAGTACCTTTTTAATTTTTTAAAAAATAATTTCAAATATCAGTAGGCTATTCAACGTTTTAGGATTAAAATATCAAAACATTATCTCTGCATTTGTAACTGCAGGTAAAAGCATTCATGTCCTGCATTAAACAGTGTGTAAATGCATCTTCAGATGCAGCTTCTGTGTTTCCTCTGCATTGCAAATATGAATTTTGTTTATAATGATTTTATTGGTTTGGTAACAGCCCCAAATGTCTTATTATTCTAATTCACTTTATTGATTAAATAAGAATTTGACACAAAAGGTAATGCACACTTCTAGAAAAAAGTAAAAATGCCCATAAAGGGTCAAAATAACTTTTGTTGGAAAATATTAATTTCTATCACTGCTGTGAACTGACCACGCAGAATATGAAGAATATAAAAAAACTTAAGGAGTCAGCTGTCCACGGCAGTCGTGCAGCGCAACACGCTCAGAAAAATATAGTCTGATTATCGTTATGGCTAAAATCCCAGAAAATATCGAGATATCATTTTTGTCTATATCGCACACCCCTATATATTTAATTCTTCTTTGCTTGTTTGGTACACATGCCAAACTGATCACTGATCATGAAGCTTAAAATAAGCTTATATTAGAAATAGGTTTTCTCAATGATAATGAGGACACGACAAAAATAGGTGAATCATATTTATATAAGGTTTTTTTTTTTTTTGAAGGGGACGGGGTCTGGTTAATATAGTGAAATATCATTACAATTTAAAAGAATGGTTTTCTATTTTAATAGTTTACATTTATTCCTGTGATGCAAAGCTGAATTTTCAGCATCATTACTCCAGTCTTCTGTGTCACATGATCCTTCAATCTATTGTCAACGTCAGAAACAATTGTGCTGCTTAATATTTTTCTGTGATATTTTTACAGGATTGATTGAATCCTGAGCGATTACTATTCAAAATATAAAAATCTTATCAATTTAACATTATTGCAGAATAAAAGCATTAATTTTCTTTCAAAAAAGAAAGGAAAAAATAAATGAATAATAAAATAAGTGCTGTTCTTTTATTCTTCAAAGAATCCAAATATTATGTTTCAAATGTAAAATAAAGCAAAGAAGACAGGCGCTTGAAAATCTGAACATAAATCAGGCATAATGTATTTTTCTATCATTTTATTATTATTTTACAGCATCAGTCTCAGATCTAGCAGACGATTGCGATCGACGGGTTGGCCATCACTGATGTGCTGTAGGCTACATTAAAAATGTAACAGATCAAAACACAATAACCCCCAAATGTAAAAAAAAATTCAAAAAGGATTTCATAAAACTAAACAACATGGGTATACCTATAAGCAACGCAAACTTCACTAAAGTATTCCTTTAGGAGACATTTGTTATTTATATGTTATAGACTTTTTATACTTTTTTGTTATCTTTATACTTTTACAAAGAGTGTAATGAAAACATGTCTAAATTATTTTATTAATATATTTATATTTGATATGCACATAATTAATGTATATTGTATAAGTTAGCCAGGAAAAAGACAGACACACTTAAAACTGCAATAAAAAAAATGCAGACGTCACGTTATAAGGCAGATGTCACGTCCATTGAGAGGAATGAATGAAGGGCAAGTAAATTGTGCATTGGCTGACACACTGCACTGAGCCGTGTGAGCAGCGTGATTTTAATTTGAAGATACATGTGCTAAGAGAAAATATGTATGTAATGTTTGAACTGTCTTTCAGAGGAATTCTCAAGAGCAAGAGAAGAGGCCCCACCGGAGATATTCAGTGCCAGCTTTCACAAAGCACAGAGAGTTGGGCATAATTTAGATCCGGCCTTTACACTCCAAACAGGCAGCATTGCAGAACTTGATCCTGACCATTCAGAAAAGACTGGTACTTACTTTTTAGTATTTTTTAAAAAGTGTTTTATGTAGTCAAAAGATTAAAAAAAAAAAAAAAAAAAAACACTCACCTTGAATTCACTTTTGAAATGCATGTTAAGACTGGTTATAAACACAACTAAATGTCTTCCCCTAGCTTAATAATCTCCCTAGTTTAATAATATTTTACATCATTCCTGTTTTTTACTGTATTTTTTAACCCAATAAATGCAGCCTTGGTGAGCATAAGATCCCAAACGGTTGAATGGTTGTGCATGTTTAAAACCGTTTTAGTGTCATTTAAAAATAATTGGAATGGTCGTACTTGAAACATCCAGGGGAGGGCAGTAAGTGAAAGAACATTTTCATAATGTTTAATGTCATTTAAACAATCGTCTTATATGGCCTCTGAACACCCAATATTCTATAATAAGGTTTATGATCAACATTAGGATGACTAATATATTGTTCTCTGTTTTTTGTTTTTTTTATAGATGGGAGTGGTATAGAAACGATGAGCACTGAATATGAGCAACATGAAAAGGTATGAGAAGCTTCTCCAGACACAAATAATCATCCATTCTGATGTTTTATGTTCTTATTTTACAAATCTTAACAAGGAAAGTTTGATTGTCACTGAGACTGTGCTGTCTTTTGTAGATTGAGGGTGATAGCATCTTGGGAGAGGGAGAGCATGTGAAGAATGAGGACAAAGAAGAGAGTGAAGGAGAGAGGGGAGAGGAGAGCACAGCAGGTCAGAGGATCACAGATGCTCTGCATATTAAATCTCTTTGCCTTGATTCACCTTGATTTAACACATTGCTGCTATATTGTTAAATATTTATTGTTAGTTGCAGTTGGTGTGACAGCTCCGGTACACCAAAGCTGTGTTCAATATAGTATACTACTCATACTACATTTGAAAGGAATTCGGTATGCATATGCACATTTTCTAGATGCATGTGATGCCCAAATGACCTAGCAATTTCTCCAAGCACTGTGCCTTTAGCTTTTGTATAAAAACCTATATATGGAATTACAAAAAATTGTTCAAGAAACATTATTGCCAATGTTGAAAAAAATCGTACTGACCCCAAATCTTTTGAACAGTAGTTTATATCAGAAGTCCCCAACCACCGGGTCGCGACCCACTACCGGGCCATGGAAGAATTGCTACCGAGTCACAAGAACGTTCTGGGAAAAATGTGTAGGCCTATAGATATGACACTGTTATTTATTTATGTTAATCATTGTTCTAATTATTCTGTATTTTCTTTGTATGCGATTGATATGGAGTAGCAATTTGACAATTTCATGTTAAATAAGTAGGCTAAATGAAAGATTGCTCTGATCTGTCACATGTTAGGAGTTAAACGGATCGCAGTTGATCCGTAATACGGATGAGACCCTACCATTCGCAGATTAATTTGTCAATTTACACGTACAAGCAATTTTAAATCACAAGAAGAATAAACTAAAGAGAGCTCAATTCGTTACTCACGCGCTGTTCTCGCACACAAAGCGCGCACAAGAGATGTTTCAGACAGCGCGGAAATGCCGAGTTGCGTATACATACACATAAAATTAGCCTATGTCAAAAACCCTTCACAACATTGTCATTCTCTGTGCTTTAAATATTTTTTTTTCTTTCTTATCCGAAAAAGTCTGATCTGTGACTCAAAAAAAAAAAATACAATATAATGCGTTGTTTATATAATAGCCTAATATATATATATATATATATATATATATATATATATATATATTATACATATATCCCCCCAATGAGTAAAAATGAATAGTCATGCAATTTCTACAGTATTTCTTCATTTTTCTAACTTTTTGTATGTCTATCCAGAGGAAAGTTTTGACATGTGCCTTACCCAAGGGGATGGAGAGGAGATGAAGAGGAGGGTGGCGCTTGAGCTGGTGGAGGGAAACATTGCCACAGCTGCTGCTGCAGCACTGGCCTCTGCAGCTACCAAAGCAAAGGTAGATGTCAAACCTCTTTTCTTGCAACCGCTTCCGTTTCCTTTAATTGTGACAAAAAAGCCATTCATCTGAACTCACTCTTCTCTTTCTTCTTCTTCTGTCCCTCTAGCACTTGGCTGCAGTAGAAGAGAGGAAAATAAAATCTCTGGTGGCTCTGCTGGTTGAAACTCAGATGAAAAAGTTGGAGATCAAACTGAGACACTTTGAAGAGCTGGAGACCATTATGGATCGGGAAAAAGAGGCTGTGAGTTAGAGTGCTTTATTCAAACAAGATCTGGCATCTCTCCAAGACTCCAAGAAACTTTTGAGAGCACGCTAAATTATTTTTCAATGCTAGAATGTTTTACGACCTGCATTTTAATCGCCATCGATTTATTTTTAGAAAATTATTTGTACTGAATAATACATTTTCATAATCTCTTAAAGGGATAGTTCACTTAAAAATTAAAATCTGTTATTTACTCACCCTCATGTTGTTCCAAACCTTTTTTCTCTTTTATTTAAACAGAGAAAATCTTGCTGACTGCTATCTGCATTTTAATGTAGAGATTTGTTTGGGAGGGTGTTTAAACTTCATTTGATATCTGTGTGTTGTAGCTGGAGCAGCAGAGACAGCAGTTACTGTCGGAGAGGCAGAACTTCCATGTGGAGCAGGTGAAATATGCTGAGATGAAGGCACGACAGAATGTGGAACAGCAGCAACAAGCGGGAGCCACACAGAGCAGCAGTAGTACAGCATACAACCCTCTTCACCATGGTACACTCTCCTCTCTCCTACACATCAGTCAACCCTTTTGTCTCATGCACACTCATATACTTAATAATATTGTGTTTTTTGCATCTCTCTCAGGATGTTCGGTGGGCAGTGCTAGTACTGGACAGATCGTGGGTGCTCGGCACTCTGGAGCTCCCAATGGCATGTGTGAGTAACACATGCCTCAAAGCAAATGCTGATCAGCAGTGCAGTGTTCGAAACCTTTTGAATCCTGCTGCTTTTCGTTTTTTTTCCAACTCAGACCAAACTCCACCATCCTCACAGTCTGATGGGGCCACACCCATGTAATGTCTTCACTTCCTTAAGACCCAAACTCCGCAAGATGACATGAAGAACACAGTCACTTCATTACCCACATTCATCTCTACAATAGCACTTCTTCTGTGTATATTTAATATTTTTTAAGCATTGATGCTGACATATAAGTGAAAGATTTGAGGCTTTTCGTTGCCGTATCTGTCTGTACTTAATGTTTGTAGATCTGTTTTTGTATTGCCACCAAGCACTAAAACATTTGTTTTAGTAAGAATAAATCTTTTATATGGAGTTATAACTTCTTGAGTGAGCTTATCTATTGAAGTTTACTTAAGAAGATTTTCTAATACTTGAATATTTTTTATTTAGTAACTTAATCTCTGATGCATTTAAAAAATGTAATTTGATATTTGTGGTATATGTATTTCAGCAGTCAACTGTTCTTAACTATGAAGAAAACTGGACTGCGCCATTACTTGATTTGTTCCAGATGTATTTTTAAGAGAAACTCTTAGATCACAGGTCATTCTAGTGCACTAGGTTTGGGAGACATTTTTAAATGCTCTTTTCCATACACAAGAGTAAATGGAGCTTATAAATGAGATTTGAGAGCTACAGGCTTCAGGGGAAGATTTTCAGCAGAAACACTTTTATTATATGGAAAAGAGCAACTTAATTTTCATTAATATTGTGCCCTGTGTGTTTGACTGAAGACAGTCATAAGTTTGGACCAACAAAGTTGAGTAAATAATTATAACTTTATGCTGAACTGTCAGTTTGACAATTCTTGAATAAAACTATGGATAATGTTAAAGAAATGTTACCGTGGCAACTCACTGAAATAGGTTTGTTGAAGTACTAAAATGATTAAAGCTAAAACTGAAACAAAATGAAAGCAATATTTAACAAAATTACTAAAACCTAAAATGAAAGCTGAAAATATAAATTAAAAGCTAATTCAAAAATGTATAAATGCTACCATTTTATAAAATACTAAAAGAAAATTACTAAAACTTGCAAACTGAAAATGTTAAAATCTAATGCTAAATATAATTAAAAATTCTACATTATACTAATAAGTTTGGTTTAAAATAATACAAATACAAATTTCCTCTTTGACCAAGGATCATTTCCACAGATCGCTGTGATTTTAGGAAAAAATTAAGGCGAGTCCCTCCCCTCTACACAGTGTTTGCTTACGTTTGGACAGGCGTCTGTGGTGACCCAGTTTCAGACGCTTTGTTCGGGGGAACCGCCTGCATCAGTTTTGTACCTTTAATCAAAGAGGTCAGTTCAATTATTTAGAATGAAACTATTTAGAATGTCAGTATTTTGTATTTAAGTGAACTTCAATGCATTTGGGGAAAGCAAGTGGGGACATTTTAGTGATTCTGTCACGACACAAATGATGTGTCGGTAATGAGGCGCATGAGCAGATACTCACATCAACCGTGAGTTCGAAACTCGTCCGCTGGAATTAGCCTACTGCAGTCAGTGGCAGCGTGAGTTCTACCGAAACTCTCCGCTTCCTTAGTGGACGCCTGATACTGGCTCTCGTTACCAATGAGACACATTTAACTGTCTTGGCATCTTGTTGGAGTTGGATAAGAAATGACGGGTCCCTAGCGACGCTAAGGGTGGCCTGAATCTCAACCAAAGAGGAATAACAACTGAAGACAACATCCGAAGTTGGCATGAAGCATCGCGCTTCGTAACGCATTCAATCTAAGGAGATTTATGTCCAGGATTATTGCTCAGATTCTCCAAAACATCTCCCGTATGACTATATCTTAAATAGAAGATCCGCCTGGTTCAGTTGAAGTGTTTGTGTCATGATGAGCTCCAGGCGCACGTTGTTTTCAGCAGGTTGGGAGTCGGTGGTGCTGTCCAGCGTCCTGCTTCTTCACATCTCTCCTTTGTGTGTTAATGGTGAGTATATATTTGAGTTATTATTATACAATCTTTCTAAATGCCTACCTTTCCTACATTTAACAGGGACCTTCTTTGTAGTTTGTTTCTGTGACATGTTAGAGCTTTTTAAGAGAAATAACACAAATTTGAAACAAAAATGTAATAATCTTCATCGATTCACTGGGATCAAGCGATAAATGGGTCTCTAAAAAATGTCACCAAACCAGTGTTTGCATGTAAATTAAATTTAACTAATAAATTGTTAGCACAATTACTTAAGAAAGCTCAAGTCGTTTGGGAATTTCAGAACTATTTACGTTTTAAAAATGTATGTAACTGAGAGAAAATGTACTAAGCACAGCCTCATGCCTTTTTTGTTCACCTTATTGGCATTTTTATAAATATTAAAATTGAATGTAATAATTCGTGTAGTTATTATTTGGACCAAAGAAGTTAGACTGGATAATAGAATACTGCCATATAAAAATTGTAATTTTGCTTGCAAAAAAAAAAAGAAAGATTTTTCTCGTCGGCATCTCTTAATCACAGCTGTATTTGATGCTTCATTTCTAAATGTTTAAGTTTGTGTTTACCAAATGCACATATTTATAGAATGGGGGGGTGACCCTTTATCCACTGACAAAATGTTGGTTCTTTAAAAAAATTGTTGCTGAGAGACAGCACCTGAAGACTAGGTCAATAGGCTTTGCTGCATGAGTACCAAATTGTCACGTTGGCGTGGTTGACCTGCATCACACTACAGTTGCCTCGGCCTAACTAATGACTGCGTAAAGCAGGAAAGTATCATTTGCATAAGGAGCTTTAAATGGTTGCACTTAGCTGAACCTCTGACCTCTTGGCCGACTTCCCAAAGTCTATGTATTATCGCATCACTGTTTCTTCAGAGACATGCATCTTTCATTAAAACAGGATGTTAAGCAAGCATGCTCCGATGATAAAAATTGACCTAAGTACTCATAATGGCCTTATAAAAAGCTATTCAAACCTTTTATTATAATCAAGCCATTTAACAAATCCAGATGCTCTTGTCTTTAGTTTGCTTTAGTAGCTACTGCAGTCAGTCCAGAGTTCTGTTCAGCCATGCTGATCTGTTGTAATTCTAATTGAAATTCTTTGTTAGACGTGAATGGTGACTGAGGGTGTATGTATGTGGGAATGGGAAAAATAAAAGTTGGTTCCGAAACATTGTCTGCACAGAAAAAAATGTGTATCGGCTGACAGTGATAAGTTAAAAGTGGCAAATGTCAGACAATACAGTATATTGGTCGATCACTTCATTAAAGTCAGCACATTCAAAACAATCTCCCTTTGGCACTTCTTCCTTAAGGTGAACAATTAATCCGAGCACATTATTCTAAAGAAAAAGATGTCTTCAAGTCCTGCCCTCAATATTCCCACTGAATGTCATGATTCTTTCAGAAATGTCACACCATTTTATATTGAAGTCAACTTGGAGAGTTCAGTCAAATCACTTTTCATAGTTATTCATATGGCTGAAATGTGTTTTGTTGCCAGTTGTAGCTATAGTGCCTTCTTCTGTATACATTTTGTGTTTCTTTTGATGTTATGCTAAACTAGGGACAATCATTACTATAATAGAACATGCATTGCTAGTGCCTAGTTGAAATTAGAGGGCATGCTGTGACAAAAGGCTGTTACTCTTCTTTGTTGTTTTTGCCAAGACCAGGCACTCACTTCCTCAACCTTAGGAGAGTGAGAGAGAGAAATAAAAGGCGACAGACAGGATGCATTCACAAAAATGTGCACAGATTAAGTCTTTGAACCATGCAATGACATTACTCTGTCTTGATGTTTATTTTAAAACGTCTAAAACCAACCTCAGATAATATTTTTGTGCACTTTCTCGCTAAACTTGCTTAGATCCTTTCCATGCATGGCACAAGAGAGCCATCTGCCACTGCGCTCTCATAACAGCAGAGACTGTCAATGAGCATTAGCGTCAACGAGCTAGTGTTAGCGGCCACATAGCCTGCCCGTATGGAGCTCCCAGTGAGGGCCAACTGTGTTTATCCTGCCAGACGCTGACACTAGAGCTGCCTACACTGTTGGAAACTTATGGAACTACACAACCTGTTGGACACTTGCTGATCTTCAGCATCTGTGCTGTAAAGCATTACAGTTGAATTAATCATGTCGTTGATCCAGTTTTGTACTAGTTAAACTCAATGACTGTGACGAACGCTGTGTTGGACAAGGGGACTGATCTTTTCCAAACACTCGATGTGGTGCACAGACACTGATTATGTTTATTTGCACTAAAAATATAATTGCATCAACTGGAATTTGAACATTTTGATTATCAACCAGCAATGTGAATGCATTAACCTGATGCAGTTTGTCTCTGCAAGCATTATTTGGAAAATCTGTCAGTTAAATGTGCATGTCCAAATGAAAGTGATTCTGTATTTGTGCAATATTTTAGATGTGTAATATTGGTAACACTTTACAATAAGGTTCCATTTGTTAACAATAGTTACATTAGTTAACATAAACTAACAATGAAAAATACTTCTAAAGCATTTATTAATTGTACTTAATGTTGCTTCCAACATTTACTAATATATTATAAAAATCAAAAATTGTATCTATTAATGCTATTTAATGGACCTGAGTTAACATGGACTAACAATGAACAGCTGTATTTTTATTAACTAATGTTAACAAAGATTAATAAATACTGTAATAAATGTATTGCTCATTGCTAATGCTAGTTAATACATTAAATATAGTTAACAAATGGAACCTTATTGTAAAGTGTTGCCATAATATTTAATAATATAATTTTATAGTTTAATAAAATTGAAAATGATTATTTTAGTAAATTATAAAATATTTAGAATGTTATTATGAATAACTGAAATTATTTATTAAAAGCAATCATTAATTAATCTTAATGCTTAGTCACTGAAAGTTACATGTAAAAAATGATTAGTATGAAATTAGCATCCACACCAATAGACGATAACGTTCTGTTTTTTGAAAGCATGCACTGCATATATGTCATCTGACGCTTTAAATGCTCAAGCTCTTTAAAGTCCGATGGATTCTGCCTGGCTCTGAAAGTGATTTCAACAATATCTTTCCTCTGTGTCGTAGTCATTATAGTTGTGGTGTGGAGTTCACTGTTCTCATAGAATTAGAACAATTAAAACTTTATAATTCTAGTTATCATCATTGGTGTGAATGAGTCTTTAGATCTTAAAAGTTATTTGGCTTTATTAGCCATTTCAACAACTCAGACTCTACTTTTGGATATAATTTTTTATATCTGATAAAATGTATATCTTCACATTCTAAAGTGTACATTTTCATTAAAATGTATTTACATTTTCTTACCTGGCAAATACCTCCTCTGTACGTACACTGGTCCTCTGACCAGTGGCTTGTATTTTACACAGATTGGCAAAATAAGACTTCTCTCCTTAGCTCATACCTTTTACAATAAAAAAAACTCTTGCATTCTTTGAATATCGTTAGTAAAGAAATAAACTCTATAATAAACCTTAAAGCCATACTGTTTATGAATGGTGAAACAAACAATTGGCTTTCCCTCTTAAATCAAGATTAGATTGGATCTTCCGTAATCTTCTCAACCGCTCATTACTGGCTCATACAAATGCCCAAACTAACATTTATATGGTGCATTATCTCAACACATCGAGTGCAGTTTTAGGCTTGAATATTTAATTTGGGTAGCATAACTACTAATGGTCATACTGTACAACAGTAGCACGGATTGGGGTGGCACTGCTAATCCCACAGGTCTGGCATCTCTATATGTCTTGTTTGGCTTGCACTGATACTGCTGTGAACCTACACCCATCCTAAGGACATCCATGCCAGCTCCCCTGCCAAGCAGCATAACAGTACTATTTATAACTAAGCACATGGGTGGCACCGTGGCAGTGTGGATTTTATTCAGCAGAGCTTAGAATGACACTTACCTTTAGGATACCAACTTATCAGATTTGAAAATAAGGTGAGGTGAGTTAAATGTTAAGTTGTCTCTTACATAAAGAGTATAGACTTCATAGTAGAAGAAATTGGAAGGTCTACATGGCATCTTTGCCCACAGAAATTGGAACGCCCATCATTCACAGAGTTTTACACAGTCTCTGCCCTCTTTGTATTTTAAAGTTGTGATGAAATGGAAATAGTGACAGATCTTTTCTTGTGTATTGTGATGTACATCCGAAATGGATTATCAAAAAAGAAAAACATGGACTTTTATCCATCGGTTGTTGATTGGATGGAAGCAGATCTGAATGTGAACTTGCATCCAACTGTAAGAAAGTGGTGGGGTTGAAGCAGACTAAATGATTGGAGAAGTTCTGCATTCATCACCAAAGAGAAGTCATTTCTGAAGTCTGGCGAAAATCGATTTAAAGGGGTCACATGATGCTATTTTAAAGATCATTATTTTGTGTATTTGGTGTAACAGAATATGCTGACATGCTTTAATGTTCAAAAAACACATTATTTTTCAAATACTGTACATTATTGTAGGTGCTCTATGCCCCGCCTCTCTCAAATACGTAGTTTTCAACAAAGCCCCCTCAGTCTGCTCTGATTGGCCAGCTGACCCAGTGCATTGTGACTGGCCGAACACCACAAGCACGCGTCGGAAATGTAATGCCCCTTACCATAATCACGAGCTTCAAGCTTTCAAATTAAATATCAAGACAGTTAATAATGTCGTTAGTTTTACCATCAGTTCAAGCCCGAAAGGGCAACAGAGTGACATGACAGACACAGTGATGATGCAGTACACAAGCCGTGGTTAAGACAGCTGACGTGCTATGATTTCTGACAGGC